ATTTCAGCCACTGTACCGCCCTAATATGTATGATAGCCCTCAGATCTGCTACTCCTCTTTGGGTTTCTGAGAATATCCTGGAGTTTCTTTCTTCCCACAGTGTCCAACATACTACAGCCCTTAGTCCTCTCCACATTATCCTTCCCCTTTTTATCTGCCACCTGAAGAAGGAAGGGGAGAAAAGGTCCTGTAAATCTAATGGGGGATTCCAGCTACATCCAAATAAGAAGTAAGCCCAATCCCAAATTGACCTCGCAAAGTGGCAAGACACCAGTAGGTGAAAACCAGTCTCCCCATCCGCTTTGCACACACCATTGAGGTGACAAGCAAGTATTGGGTCTATTTTTTTGGAGTAGATCACTAGTGTTGATTCTTTCCAGATAAGCTTCCCAACAAAAACTACCAACCCTAGGAGGCATTGCTCTGCACCAAACCTCACCAACAGGGAAAGGAGGGAAGGTAGGACTGGTGGACTGACTTAAAGACTTTGAAGAACGAAGCACAAGAGAATATGCCACTGGGGGTAGGTGTCCAAATTCTAGAATCCGCCCTAGTGGGGTCTAAGACAACGTTATCAAAAAGAGCAATAAGGCTCGAAATACTATCGAGGTCTGAGTCCCTCAAATCCCTTCTTAGACCCAAGTTCCACCCAATCCCAGAAGTGGAAGAGGACAGGGTGGTGAAAGACGAGATCGGCTCATTTTTCAAATCAGATTGTTTATTCTTGACTACATTTTGTGGTCTATGGAGTTTGAAGATTCGAAAGGGGTATATCCTATGGTTGTGGTTTTTGGGATGTAGCGGAATTTGTGGATAACATTGTATGCAGTTAAATGCTTAGAGATGGGCTGCTTGATTCCCATCACTGTGACTTGTCTCCTGATAAAGAGTACTGGAGGCTGCATATAGATATTATGCTTTTAACAAAAGCAAATTAGATTTTACATGTTAGAACAGTATTGCTGAAATATAGGATTATTTTACTGAATTTGTTGGGAATTAAAGATAAATGGATAATTTACATACTACATGCTTCAATAATTAATGTTTGGAACTTATGTCTGTCTGACTCTCTCCCCTGCTTGGCAGTGCAAAGCAATGGCGTGATGGAGATTGGATGTGCACAAATTGCAATAATCATAATTTTGCTTCTAGATCACAATGTAATAGGTATGTATCTTAGTTTCTACACATAGTTTACTGAAAATTTTTGGTCATTTAGTGATTTAAGAATCTAGGCCATTTCAAACCGTGGACCATGGCTTTATGAAGAGATTTTGCAGCATCACTTATTGCACTCTCTTCTCTGGAATCATATTGACAAGCCACAACTGAGCATTATTGCTTTTACATCCTTTGGAGCATCCTCCAGAAGCAATGACACTGGCATATGAACGGATGCCGTCACTTCTGCAGGAAAATTTGGTCAATTACTGCCCTTCCCACAACATATTCCTTAGTCATCTCTTTTATTCAACCTCTGATTGCATCTCTTTTTATTTCATATAATGGTCCTTAACCTTATTTTATTTATCTTAACCCTTTAATTTCATTTCTTTCTTTTTTTATTATGATTTTCATTATTCAATTCTTTTTTTTTGTAAGATAACAAAGAAAAAGGATTTCATTAAAAAAAGCACAAAAGGAAGGTGATAAGATATCGACAAAACTAAAACACCTCTAACAAAAGTTACAACTCATCCGATCCCTACAACAACCTCAAATGAGTAACAGAAACACCAACTACCTAACACACTTAGACATACAAAAGATTGGAAGGTTCATGAGACCCCTTACATAAACCTCCATTCCTCTATTAATCCTCCCCTTCAAACACTTCCTCTTGTCCATCATCATCCTCATTCCAGCTCTCTCCGCCTTCCCCTATTACGAACTGTATTCATCCTTTCCTCCTTTTTCAAACTCCTCAAAAGCTTTTCTAGCAAAAGCCTCCCCACGCCCCGCCCCAAAAAAAGAAAACCCTAGCCCCTTGCCAACCTCTACAGCTCTGTTAACTATTTCCCCAAGGGTCACACTTACTTGCCTCCCCATCTTTCCTTCTGGGTGAGCGTCCTGGACTTCCACAAAAGTTTTAGATTCCTCCTTGTACTTTTCTAAAGAAAAGACCACTGACTGAGTCTCTGGCTCGGTGTGGGTTTGAGACTCCCCACCAATTGTCTCTGCCATCTGAACTCTTGGCTTCACTCCCCTTCTCTTGACAACTCTTTTGTACTTATTTGTAGGACCTTCCATCCAATTCTTACTATCTAATTCTGTGCTATGCCCTAACCCTCATCAATCTTGATAACCCGAGATTTATGTCAACAATTAATAGCTAAAGTTCCTCTTCCTTTTGTTTGCTTTCATTCTTTCCCAGATTATTCTCTTCTTCCTTGGCTACTATACTAGCATTTATCTCTTCTACTGTTGAACTATATAACACATATTCCTGGTTTCTGCTGAGCTGCAAAAATGTTTGTGCCATATAGCCTGTGCGTTAAAAATGGGAACAGATGAACTATTTTTATCCTAGTCTTTGATGCATGACCAGTGTCTAGGCTTTGAACCATAACCTTTTTACAATGTAACCTTTTTACAATTGTATATGCAATCTTTCATGTGTCAGATGCACCAATTTTTTTTCTTTGAACCATAACCTTTTTACAATGTATCACATCAGAATGTCAAGTATTACCTAAATATTATACATAAGTTTTTCCCTCCATGTACATCAGCTTATTTGAAGTACCTTATTTATATAGAACACTAAGTGTACTAAAGGTTGAAACATATCTTGTAAAATATAGACATGCATCGGTGTTCCGAAGTATTCTCTGTGCCAGACACATCTTCATGTATGTGCTACATAGGTAAAAAGCAAAGACCTCAAAAAATGTCATTGAATTCTATCCAAAAAAAAATTCCTGAAATGCTTGCAACAACTGGATAATTGAAACAGTTCAGGAGGGAAGACAACACTCTTGGATATGAATTTTCTTAAAGTTGAGACCAAAGTACAGTTTAGTATAATCTTAGGGAAATAGGAAAAAAAAAATCCATTGACCTGAGATGAAGATAATTCTTTTCCAACTTAAGCACCATAGAAAACTACAGCCTGAAACTTAAGGGATCCGTACGTTCACACTAGAAGAATTTGAATTACTTTTGGACCTTCTAAAAAGTAATGTTCTGTTGTATAGCGGTAAATTGGCTTGTCGATTTTCTGTGGACTGTGGTGGCATCAGCAGCTACAAAAAAGAATTAGAATTAGTTCATAATCTAAAATAGTTTAAAAGTCAGCAGGGATCTGTTTGGATTGATTTGTCTTCTAGCTTACATTTCAAGCTCGAGGCATAAGGTTTTTCTCTAGGATCTAGTGGGTGGAGCATATCTGCTTATTGTGGCATAATAATTGAAAGTTTGTTATCCTTTTTGCTATTCTCAGGTGTAAAATTCAAAGAGATGCACTTAGTCAGCCTGTAAATGCATAGGTGGCAATTGTTTGGAGGGTTTGGTGTTGTAACTTTTACTGGTTTGTCTTGAGGTTTATTTTGGATATCAAGTTGCAATAGAAAGGTGAAGCTTCTTGTAATTGCAGTTATTTTTAACTCTTTTTTTTTGTTTCCTCCCAAGGTATTAAAAATCGGTTTGTCATAAACAATGCTACTTTAAGAGTGGTCTATCGATAAATTTTATAGCTGTCAGATGAGCAGTACTGAATTCTTTCTGTTGATATCTTGTTTTGAAAATTATATCCTCTGCAATTGGTGAATCACCTCAGGTTTGCATTTAGAAACTGTTGCTTCCTTAATGGGTACGACCCACCCTTTTGACATAGCAAGCAATTTCAAGTCTAGATGGAGCACATGAGAAAGCATCATAAATAAATGCTTGATGTTTTCTCAGGCATCAAGGCTGTAGAACTTTGTGACAGGAATACAACTAATCAAAGGCCCATTAATGTAACATCGAGACTGAAGATCCTTTCCCTAAACAACCTTCCCTATAAGTTCTTTAATTATGTTTTTGATGCCGCGACACTCAGGTCGGGGGAGAGGATCAGGGATAAGCAAAAGATTAGCCGTACTTTGTGACAATGGAATACGGTTACCATCTTCAATGCTGTCCAAGTGGAAACAGAAAGGAGCAAAAAAGGTAACGATTCTCTTCTATTGAAAACTTGAAATTGAGGACAGCTTTTCTATTTTCCATCTCATGAAATTAAGCACTATGGTCGATGGAGGGGCCTTTGCTTGGTTGTAAATGGATTAGATAACACTTGGAAAAATGTTTAAAACAATTAAAAAGATTTTTTGGTAATTTTTAAAAATGTTTAAAAAATACAAATAAAAGGCATTGATATATTTCACATGATAATCTATAATTTGAATGTTAATATAATTGTGGCCTCAAAAATATGAAAACAATTATTATTTATTTAATTGGATATTTGCATTCGATAATAATTGAAAAAAAATATTTAAAAAAATAAAAATTTTCATAATAACAATTGAAAATTAATTTACTAATACATTAACACTTAAAATTAGATAATTTATATAATAATTGAACTTTTATGTGATTCATGACTTCATATAAAGTTTTAACTTTTAAACATCATATTGGGATTCAAATGTTAAATTTGTAAATTATAATAGATTTAAAATTTGAAGTTGAACTTGGAAGATTGGAACTCAATTAAGTATTTTATTAAATGGTATGTTTTTGTTCCCATTTGTTAATTATAATATGTTTTTTTTATAAAAACCCATTAAAACATGTGATTTTTATGTATAAATAGCTCATTTAAGTCTTATATTTAGTGATATTGATGTTTATTTATGATTTATTAGAGTATTTATAGCATTTCCATGTGTTTTCATGCGTATCTTAATTTTTTGTCCATATCCATGCGTATCTAGGAGTATCCCGATACGTCTCTTAAATTTGCCCTTCCGATACGCATAGCGTTTCCGATACTTTGAACCTTGATAGGGGTGTATCGGGCTGTAATGGTACTTTTTTTATTTTTTTCAAAACCGGTTCAGGGGTGGTTTAAGGCTCCACCCCCTGTATCAGAGCTCCCGAAACGATACGTATTAACCAATGTGTATTGATACTTTAAACCTTGCATGAAATTTGTATAATTAAGTAATTTTGATACATGAAATACGAGATAGCATTAATATAGATTCCCAAAGACTAATACCCTTCCTCTCTCTTTTTCGAATTAGTTGACGTGTGAAAAATCAGTTCCTCTAATATCATTCCTCTATCTCTTTCACTGCTGGGAGTACCGATGTTTTCACACAATGCATGAAAAATCAGTATTGAGCATCGATACTTTGAAACTTGCCTGGTCCATGCTATTTATACTTAATACAGTGCTAATTTTCACTTCGAATCTTTCCTTGAACTGCACATATCTTGGCCGAGCGAGCACTTCAGAGAGAGAGAGAGAAAGCACATTTGGTAATGCTCTGTTGGAAACTTGGAATGTTTTAAAAATTGACCCAGAAGTGAAACTGCTTTGGCCACCGGTTTTTGGGTCAATGGTTTGACCGTCCAGTTTGAACGGACAGCCAGTTAAATTAAAAAAATAAAAATTTTAAGAAATAATTAATATAAAAATAGCCAAAACCGTTATCCAGGTCAAATGGATCAACAGTTTGACCATTCAGGTCAGCAAGTCACTGACCATGTCAATGTTTTTGCCAAAAAACAGGTTTAGGGTGAAACAGAACCCATTGCCTGAATGGTTCCCAGGCCAAATGGTCCAACCATTCGGGTCAACAGTTTTAAAACACTGGTTGGAAAATTAAAGCTCCGTTTTGTTCGCAGGAATAGGGATCTGGAATTGGAATTGGAATGGGCTATTCTAATTCCAACTGTTTGGTTGGGCATAATTGGAATCCCATTCCCATTCCTTCTAAAATGGCATTCCCCCATTTGAGGGAATGACCATTCCCTGCCCCTCCCCTAGGAATGAAATCCTATTCCTGCTGATTTTAATTCTCATTCCCATCTGAACCAAACAGATTATGGGAATCGACCATTCCGATTCCAACTCCGGAGGATTTCGATTCCGATTCCGATTCTGATTCCGACTACAAATCAAACGGACCTTACGAAAGATTAAGAAAACACTGGTTATAACATCTGATGTTACAACTCAAAAATTAAGAAAGATTGTTAGGGATGATCATGGCCCTTGCCCGGGCTGGGCTTAGCCCCTATGCTAAGGGCTCAAGTCTGGGCCTTGGCGTACATGGTCATAGATCAAGTCTCGTTCCAGGCAAATACATTACAAGGATAAAAGGAGGTTTAAATTTTAATTTTTTTCCTTTACTTGGTTAAATGTATTAAATTAGATTTAAAAATTAATATACTTGGACAACCATTGTTTCCATAAAACATGAAAATATATTCAGATTTTGATGTTTTTTTACACGCCATAAAAGTTGAATCAGAATAATCTTTTAACTTTTAAATCTAATTTGAGTACAGTAAAAATTAAAATTTAGATGTCTTCTTATCTTTTTACTCTTATAATGCATTTAAAGTCATAAACTCGGTCCAAGCTGACGTTTCAGGCCTGGGGTTTGGGCTGAGCCAAGCCTGGGCCCGAACTAGAGCCCTTAGCATAGGTGCTTAGCTCGGTCCATGATCACCATCAAGAAAGACTACAAAAAAACATAAATACCAACCAATCAAATAAGCCCAAGTACTTGTGCAACTTCATAGCATAAATAAATCAATTACTAACCATGTTACAAATTACAATGGCTGATATAAACAAACATCGTCCATGCAAAGTTGTGCGAGGAATAAGGCCAATTTAAAACTTCAAACTTTAAAGCAAGAAATGCACCTTCCATGGAGCTAGAGGTGTGATAGTGACTCGTAATTTCCAGTCAAAGGCCGAAAAACCTTAGATGTGCTTCAACTTGCTCTGGTTGACTTATGGAGGTGTTTTTCTTTGTCTTGGCTGTGTCCAACTTGTTGCCTGTTGAGAGGAAATTTAGATTAATAATACAATCACCCAGAAATTGCTTCTTGGATTTCCTTTTATTGTTTTATTTTTATTGATTTTTTTTTTTTTTTATTATTATTATTA